CACTCCAAAGTGAATTTCAAATGAATAATTTGAAAAGAAAACAAGAGGGGAGGTTCAAGGGCTGTGTGTCCCCCCCCCCCACCCGAGATCTCTAAATCGAATTCATAATGATGGGATCGACCTGATTTTATTCCTCCACTCCTCATTGGAATGATGCAAGAATTGCAGCTGGGTCTCTTCAAAAATAATCTCTTATATTTTTATGGGAAGGCTGTGAATCTCCTTGAAAAGGCAAAAAGCCCAGAGGGGAAACCGAGATGAGAAGTTTGCAAAATTAGCAACTGCATCTCCAGCCATCCCTTTCCCATTTTCAACGGGAGCCAGCTGTGGTTCCAACCACCTTTTAATACACTTTTTTTTTTTTTTACAAGTCGCTCCCTCCATCCAGTTCCTGGCGTTTTACTTTTCTTTTTTTCCCCTTCCCCCCTTCCCCCTCCCCCTCTGCCTTCTTTGTTAAACATTTTCAGGTAGGGACGCTGCACAAATGCCTGGTGAAGGCAGACAATTTGGAGCTGAGCGAGCCCTGCCGAGAACTGACAGGGTTAACCCCCGAGAGTTTGGCCAAAGCAGAGCCTCTGGATCGCGTCCTCCAACAGGTGAGGGTTCGCTTGTGAATGCAGGGAGCAGGGTTCCAACTGATGCAATCGAGCAAACAGGAAGGCCTTCTGCTTTGAAAATTGGTCAAGCGACCCAGTGCTTCGCCCCTTGTCGAGTAAAGCGTGTTTGTTCTGCAACCGAGGCTGGCTGGGCACCATCTCTGCCACGTGTGCGGCCACCTTGGATGGTGGCCTGCAGTGGCTGAGTTCACCCAGCACCTGAAGCTGTTTGTTTTTGCTCCTTTTGAACCCTTTCTTGGCCTTTGCAGCCGATCTGAGTCGCAGTTAAGCCAGGGTTTGTGAAGGGAAGCCACTGAAGTTTACTCGGCATCAGTAAACATGGTTAAAATAAATGCAACATTTGTTGATTTAGTGGTGTGAAATGATCATGGTTGATAGTGCTTTGTTGGCCAGAGATGAGTGCTGGAACTTGGTAGAGTAAGAAAGTGCAGATGTGAGGATAGTCAGTAGATTAAACATCTCACTCTCATTATAAATGACTGGTTTACCCACCCTGTGCCCAATCTTTCATCATCCTAGGGAGGTGTCTCTTTGTTGTCTGTCTGATATGTACCAGCTCTCTTTGTGTTACCTGTCAACCATTCGGTTTGTGTTACCTGTCAGCCACACCTTTATGAGTTGTCCAGAGAACATTTTTTTTTAATCTGGCTTGCCATTATGTATGAATGTAATCCAAGGTATGAGCTATGTTAAAAACTTGGATGTCCTAAGTCATTGCCGAGAATAATTATGACTGAAACTTTCGGTTAGCAAATTCATGTTGGCCCATTTAGATGTAAATTAATATCTATATTTGTTGCTTAACGTTGAACACCGGGACAAATCTGCATGTGCGAATTCAAAAGTTTTTAGATATGTTATGTGTTGCTGTTCGGTTTGGAAACTCTCGAGAATTTTAATAAACTTCTGAAACATGGGACAGAACTTTAGCATCCTTTACATCAGAGGTCCAACCCCCTGGGACCAGTACCGGTCCGTGGCCTGTTAGGAACCGGGCTGCATGGGCAACGGGTGAGTGGGCAAAGCTTCACCTGCACATGTGCAGGATCTAGCTCCGTGATGATGAATCTATGGCATACATGCCAGAAGTGACACACGGAGCCATCTCTCAGGGCACATCAGCCATCGTCCACTGCTCTTCCGGGTTCCGGTGCGCACCAGCCAGCTGGTCTTCGTGCATATGGGAGCATTGGAAACCAGCTTCCTGGGACACATGTGTGTGCTGGGAAACTGAGCTTCTGGTTTCCAGCACACCAGCTGGTCTTTGTGTGTGCATGCGCACTGGAAACCAGAAGCTCAGTTCCCAGGTGTGTGCATGCACGTCAGGGAGCTGCTCTTCCAGTTTCCGGTACCCCCCCCCCCAGTGTGTGCTCCCATTTCAGCACTCAGTGCCGAAAAGGTTTGCCAACACAAACCTAGGTTGTACAAAAAAACCAACCCCTTCCTTCCCTCCCATCCCGTCCCCAGTCCATAGAAGACAATTTTTCTTCCCAAACCAGTCCCTGGTGCCAGGGAAGTTGGTGACTGCTGTTCTACAGCAAAGTCAGAGAAAACTTTCTGGACCAAGAGCCCAAACCACAGCAAGATATCCCAAAGAATATGGGAAATGCTTAATGCTTAAGTTCAACACATTTTAATAGTGTTGATTTGACTTAATCTCTTTCCGTTTAAAAAAAAAAATGTACCAGCCTTTCAAGGTAGGTCAAATTAGGGAAGAGAGGCCTTGTGGATTCCCAGAATTTTACTCTATTGATGGGGCAGAATTTCAGAAGCCAAGAAGGGTTCTCACTGTCTCCAAAATGAATCAAGGCCAAGGCTATTCCAAAATTCTTGTTCACGCCTCCCATTTTCCCAGGACTGAGAGTAGCTGTTTTACACCCTTTCCCCAGTCCTCAAGGACAGATCATCACCTGCATTCCTCTACAAGTAATCTACATCCTCCAATCGCATTGAACATGAGAAAGCAGATCAAAAGCCTTTGGAGATGGCATCTGTTCCTGAGGATAATCATCCCAACTTTGGGGAAATTTTGGTACCCATGTTGTCTTGGATTATGCTTCTTTGGGTGGGAAGGTGAGAAGATTCCTGTTTCTGAACAACAATGTAAGGACAGCTTTCAGGAATATCGACAGAAGAGAATATTTGTAGCTCAGGGTTGAACCGTGGAGTCCTTGAGGTTCTCTGAATTTGGTGGTTTTCTTGCAGACATTTCGTTACCCAACTAGGTAACATCGTCAGGGCTAGAAGGGAGCGGGGTTTGCTCTCTGCTAGAGAATATGATGAAAAGTTTGCAAAAGAGCCAAAAACAGGCCAGCTCAGAGAGCACCAAGGACTCCCCACTTTTCAAGGAATGTTGTTATTCTTGGCAAGTCCCAAAGGTGCTTTTTTTTTCAAGAGGCAACTAGGCTTTCTTGAGTCCAGCTGCCTCTTGGGAAAATAAGCACTTTTGGGACAACCAGGACCTGGATGGCTGAGAATCTCCATAGACATTATTCTTGGCCAGGGTCCCACACAAGACCAATGCATGACTTTGGATGGAGAAATGACAGGTATCATGCCAACATCTTTGGGTGGGAGGGTGAGGAGATTCCTGTTTCTGAACCACAATGGGGAAAGAAGGGAATGTCACATCCCATTGGATTCCAAATTGGAGGCTGTCTCCTCTTGTTCTCTATCTCAGACTGAGGTCGTCCTCGATTTAAGGACCACAACAGAGCCCAAAATGTCTGTCGATAAGCAAGACAGTTGTTCAATGAATGTTGTCCCATTTGACAACCTTTCTTGCCACATTGAGTGAATCCCCACTGTTCTTAAGTTAGTCACACAGTTGTTAAGTGGCTCCGGCTTCCCCATTGACTTTGTTTGTCGGAAGGTCGCAAAAGGGGAATCACATGGCAGTTCAACCATCCTAAGTACATGCCAGTTGCCAAGCAGTGATCACATGGCCATAGGGAAGTTGCAATGGTGGTAAGGGTGAAAAAGAGTCATAAGTTTTCAGTGCCATTGTAACTAAATGAATGCTTTTAGGTTAAGAACTTTATGTTTCTGGTTGATTCCTTGTTGATCTATAGATGATTCCTGGCATTGAAAACAAATTCTAGGACATAACTCTGGCTTCGTAAAGCTTCCATGAGGCTTGGAGAAGTAATTCTGGAGCTGAGCATAGATTTCAAAATTCTCAACCAAATTCTTCACCTAGTTCTTTTTCACCGTTTATCTGAATCCTGCCAAGGAACGTGCCTAATAATTATCCAGTAATTTCTAAAATTAAATTATTAGAGGGACACGGTGGCTCAGTGGCTAAGATGCTGAGCTTGTCAATCAGAAAGGTCGGCAGTTTGGTGGCTTGAATCCCTAGCGCCGTGTTACAGAGTAAGCTCCTGTTACTTGTCCCAGCTTCTGCCAACCTATCGAAAGAATGTAAAAAATGCAAGTAGAAAAATAGGAACCACCTTTGGTGGGAACGTAACAGTGCTCAATGCACCTTCAGTATTGAGTCATGCCGGCCACATGACCATGGAGACGTCCTCGGACAGCGCTGGCTCTTCGGCTTTGAAGTAGAGATGAGCACCGCTCCCTAGAGTCAGGAATGACTAGCACATATGTGCAAGGGGAACCTTTATCTTTAATTTCTCAAAGAGAAAACTCTCCTTGCAGTAGCCATCTTACCCAGGAGGAAGAAATTCCTTCCTTGGTGTTTCACATAATTGAAGAGAAGATTGTTTCAAAACAAAAACAAAAACAAACAAACAAACAAAAAACCTAAGCCCCTCTGGCTACTTTGGGATTAAATAGATGCAAAGTTCCTGCCCTCTGTCTTGGAGAGTTTCTCTGAAATCCTCTTTTCTACTTTGGAAAAAAAAAATCAAAAGCAAATTCTCTTTCAGAAAACTAAATGAAGACCGATAGGAAAAATACAAGATATTTCTTTAAATAACTATGTACATTTTTCTTTATAATACATCCCACTTCCAGTTTTGCAGTGGCAGTGTACTAGCTGTATCTAGTCCTTTTTGAGTAGATATAGTTTTATACACCCTGATTATAACCAATATTCTCTTAATCATACATTTATACTCTCTTTTTAATACATAATGTTGTATGTCATAGTTATCGACATTATTTTCATAATTGTACCATAACATTCTGAAAAAAGCAAGATGATTGTTAAGATGCCAAAATGGGTATATTTTTTTATGATTGGGATCCTATACTATTGTTTTCCTGGAAATATGACATGTTGGTTGATATGTCTTGCGTTCAAAGCTTGTCTATAGAATTTGTTGGGTGTTCCTTCGCTTTTAAGGTCTTAAAGAAAAGATTAGACAGCCATTTGTCTGAAATGGTATAGGGTCTTCTGATTGAACAGGTTGGTGGACTAGCAGTCCTCCAAGGTCCCTTCCAATTCTGTTATTCTGTATATATTTGGTATGAAATGTTTTCTTCCCATTTGTGTCTCCAAACAGTTCTTGGTAACAAGGCCACCAATGCCATCCAGCTATGATACTCCAGCTGTTACACTAATTTAGTAACTTTACTCTTTGTCTTAATCTTCACAGGGGCTAGAACTTACTATATTACAATACAACAAAAGCAAACTAAATTGAGGACTGTGGAGTGCCATTCAGAAGTGCCAGATGATATTTTTCATAATCCCCCAATAAGCATAGTGGAGGTGCTAATCTAGCCCTTAAAACAGGGTTTTAAGTTGGCTAGGTGGTTATATGGTAATTAATTGAATATGAGGGGTCCTTGATGCTCTCTGAGCTTGGTTGTCTTCTTGTAGACTTTTAATGACCCAAATTAGGTGACATCATCACTGCTATCAGGACTAGCCCTGATGACGTTACCTAGTTGGGTCATGAAATGTCTGCAAGAAAACAACCAAGCTCAGAGAGCACCATGGACCCAGTGGTGAGTTGCAGGCGGTACGTCCCGGTAAGGGCATACCGGTGCCTGCCAGAAGCACCAGATACCATTCTGGTACAGTGCTCCAGAGGGCCCACCTGCCTGCCCGAGCTCCTTACCTGTATTTGAGCTCTTCGGCACTTCCGTGCATGCACATGGAGCGCTCGGTGCCTGCGCGATGCTCCGCCATCACGGAGGTGTCACAGAGGTGTTGTGGCAGTAAGGACGCATGTGCAAGCTGTGTGCATGTGGGAGACACTGGGCCCCATTGCACCATACTGGTTGCACCAGGATCCTGAACCCACCACTGCATGGACTTCTCATTTCAACCCTGAGCTACAAGTAGCCTCCTTTATTGTTAATTGAATATTCTTTTGTATGCTTTTCCACCATCTTGTTTTTGGTCATCTTTTTAATTTAAATTGGTTGCTTTCAATGGTTTTTATGGATTGTGTTTATTATACATGTACATGAGATGGATGGCTGTACAAATCCAATTCAGTCAATCTTACCCATGTAGGAGATCCCAGGCGCAAGAAGGCTGACCTAGATTTTTAGGAAGTTGGATTGCACGCTTGGTAGAATAGCACGTGATTGGTCTGTTTTGGCTTTGAACAACACATGAGCATGTCCAGTACTTTTCTTTTCTTTCTGGTGTCCTTGCAGGATAAGATTGCTCTTTTTCTATGTGTTACTATAGAAACGAGGAATAGCTCGGCTATTTACACGTGAATGTAAATATTTTCTCATCCTTTTTCTTCCTATGTATCTCTCCGAGCTTGGGTTGGAAACCGGAGGGGAAAAAATTGAAAGTAGATAAATGCAATTTCAAAGCTTTGTTGAATGTGGGTTGGGTGGGGTTTTTTTTTTTTTTTTGTATCTCCTTTGAATCTCCTCTGAGTGTGTTTGCTGAGGAGGTAAAACGGGTTACTAGATTGCTGTTTCTTTGACAAGTATCTGCCTGGAAAATAGAGCTGAAAGTGGCGTGTTGTTTCAAGGCTGCTGGGTGTTTTTTTTCCCCTTCTCCATGCTGAGCTGATTCATCCTTAATTATAGGCGAACAGAAGCCTCTGGAAAAGCTGAAGTAGTGTTGAAGGGGGGGGGGGGGAGCCATTAGATATGATATGTTTCTATTCTTTCACTCTCCAGTTGGATAAACTTCACGAGAAACCAGTTAAGACTGCAAAGTGAGTTTTGGTGGTTTGGAAATTATTCCAAAATGAGTATTCGGGCTGCAAGTTAGATCTTGCCCTGCGTTTTACAACCAAAGACAGCTGAAGCAGCTTAAATAGACTTTGCCGTTTCTTCTGTCTCCCATCCCTCCCTCCCAGTCACACTTCTTAAGCAACACACTGTAATTATCTTCGATACTTTTACAGTACCCTGTTTTCGCCAATTGCAACTTGGGTTTTGCAGATTTTGCCCGCTTTTGCTCGCTGTACCAAGTCACTGATTGTTTTAATCGTGAATAATGGGAAAAGCCACAGTTGGCTGGGTACACAAATTAAATTAAGCTACAGTTTTAAAAAACAAGTGTACTGCACCGGAGAAACCCCAGTGAATAAGTTAATTAATGCATGATGAAAATCGCAAACCGTAAATCATCCCCCCTCCCCATAGAAAGTTAACAGAGCCTTTGAAAAGCTTGCCTTCTCTGGGCCCTTGTTTTGTAAGCTTGCAGTGACTGAGTTCACCCATCTAAGTTCTTAAACCTAGCTCGTTGAATAAGCCAGCGATTGACAAATCGTTTCATCAATGGGTCATGATTTTCAAACCAGATTGCTGGATTCACATGCTAAGCCAAAAACCAAACTCTCTGATCACTGGGGAAGCTTTGTCACAGGAAGCTTTCAAGAAGAGACTGGACTGTCATCTGTCTGAAATGGTGTAGGGTCTCCTGCTTTGGGGGGGTGTTGGACTAGATGACCTACAAGGGCCCTTCCAACTCTATTATTCTGTGTCTTTGGGTATAACTTGATATGTATGCCAAGATGATTCAAGGCCATCTGTTTTCTGGTAGAAACCAAGTGGTTCTTGACCCTTTCCAAGAGATTTTTGCCAGGTCTGTAGGACAGAATCGGCTGGTTTAGGATACTTGGGCATGCTAAAACAAGGACAGCTTTTAGGAATATCGACAGAAGAGAATATTTGTACCTCAGGGTTGAACCGTGGAGTCCTTGAGGTTCTCTGAATTTGGTGATTTTCTTGCAGACATTTCGTTACCCAACTAGGTAACATCGTCAGGGCTAGAAGGGAGTGGGGTTTGCTCTCTGCTAGAGAATATAATGAAAGGTTTGCAAAAGAGCCAAAACTAGGCCAGTTCAGAGAGCACCAAGGATCCCCGCTTTTCAAGGAATGTTATTATTCTTGGCAAGTCCCAAAGGTGCTTTTTTTTTTAAAGAGGCAACTGGGCTTTCTTGAGTCCAGCTGCCTCTTGGGAAAATAAGCACCTTTGGGACAAGCAGGACCTGGATGGCTGAGAATCTGCATAGACATTGTTCTTGGCCAGGGTCCCGCAAAAGACCAAATACACAATGCATGACTTTGGATGGAGAAATGACAGGTATCATAACAATGTCTGCGTCAGGGTTTCAAAAAACACCTCCAATGAAAGAGGACTCCAAGGTTTGAAGTTCCTCAAAGTTCCATGTTATTAGAGATGTCATATTGGCACATCTGGGAAAACCCGAATCTGAAAGCTTCAAGGTTTTCTCCACCCAAGTGAAAGTTCAAGTCCCTGCCCATCCCCCGCATGTCCATCACATGGCCCAATCAGACCCTGTCCCAATTGGAGAGACTTCCCAGTCACACCACTCCAGGTGCAGGGCAAGATGTCCTTGACTCTCTAAGAAAGGAATGTTATTTTGACTATATATCTCTCCCATACCGCCAAGTAATCCCCCCTCCCATTTTCTCACAGCAGTAAATGTGGCAGGCCGGAAGGCATAAGGCAATAGATGGCTTCCAGGCCTGACAGGCCACCCCCTCCATCAGAAGACCCTGTCCTATAAAGAGGTTAACACTGGGGAGTAAAATCAAAAACCTAGTCACAAGAAAAAATGTCATATTGGCACATCTGGGAAAAGCTGAATCTGAAAGTTTCCAGGTTTTCCTCAGTCAAATGAAAGTCCAAATCCCTACCCAACTCCCACATGGCCCATCACATGGCCCAATCAGGCACCATCCAAAACTGGAGATGCCTCCCAGTCACACCACTCAAGGTGTAGGGTAAGGTGTCCTTGACTCTCTGAGAAAGGAATGTTATTTTAGGTTAGGTTAGGTTAGGTTA